AAAAAATTGCCCTATGGAGAGTCATACACTTGGATAATAAATACCAAGCCAGATGATACTTTTAAAAATTACCAAGTAACAACTGTAAAAGCAATTATTGGTGAGGAATCAACTAATGAAAAATCGATTGATGCATCTACTGACGAAGATGATAGTTACATTTTAAGATATAAATTGCTTGAAAATGGAGATATTATATTGGCTTATTCTGAAGGCGTACAGATTTTCACAGTAAATTCTCAAACAAAAAAGCTTAGTACAATTTATATTTGGAGAGATGGAAATGAAAATGAAAAAGAAACTGCCCAACAATCAACTAAAAGACAACTTACTTCCTTTATTAAAAAGATCAATAAATCAAAAATTAAAATTTTACCACCTCCAACTTTCGATTATGATTCGATAGACGATTTTATGGATAACGAACTGGCATTAAAATTATATGGAAAAGACATATTATATCAACTAGCTCAAATTGGAATCAAATTGCGTATTGAGCAATTATTTACTAAATGTTTAAACCAAAGTATTTCAGCATTTAAGAGTGGTGATGCTTACGACTTTATGTTGTATACAAGTCAAATTACTTTTGCGCTGATAAAATTAGAAGAATTTAATCAAAATTCAAAATTTATTAAAAGATTTTTATCTAGAACTAATTTACTAATTCCTGCAAACTATATCAGTGAAAATTCTATATTACCTCATCTTCATCATTGTGGAATTTATGATTATACATCCTTATCTATGATTTCATCATTTGATTACTTGCTTTTTTGGATCTCAGAAAAATGGAACCTTTTAAAAGAGAAATATCCCAAAATTTGTGAAATATTAGCATCTCCTTATATATTTTACTCAAATTATTCTACTAATAATTCACAAAAAAACTGCAACATTATTGATTCCTTTATTACATTTTGCCACATATCCAGAAGAATATTTATATTTTTAATTTTATAACATTAAAAGTTTTATGGTATAATTTATTTTGCTATAATTTTATCTACAGATCTTGCTGCAATATTAGCTCCAACAATAACATCACTCATATGGTTACATGATGAAAAACCACGAATTTGGATTGTGACTATTGCTTCTTTTTTACTTGAAATTAAATTTTTGCTATTTTTCCGTGCTTTGAAATATTTTGGAAAATATTTTGCAATTATGCTTGGAGTGGCGCAACAAATCTTTTCATTTCTTGTTGTTTTAGGCATTTTGGTTTTAGCCTTTGCTCATTCTTTACATCTTTTATTAAGACCTGTCAGTGAATATTCTTATGATCAGCCAAGTAATACTAACGATGCTAATAATCCTTGGAGTCTTGTTCCAACATATAAATTTGTTTCATCTAATGGCTCTGTTGGAGAATCATCCATTATTAAAACTCCTGATGATAATACAAATTTATTTACGATGTTTAGTACTTCCATTTTAGCAGTATATTTTATGCTAACAGGTATTATGCAATAATAATCTTGACAAATTTATATTATAAAAATTAATAATATTTATGTTTTTAGGCGATTCAAGTGCAATATCTTCGTGGGGTCTAGTTATTAATTGGACTTTAACATTTTTATTAGTTATATTTTCATTTTTCACAACAATCTATTTACTGAATCTGTTCATTTCATTACTTGGAGATGCTATTAATCAAACATATAATGAAGAGTCTTTTTTACATTTAAGAGGAGAGGTAAATTTTTGTCCATATTTTATAAATTTATTATAAATAAATAAATAAATTATAATTTAAAAAATTAAAATAATCATATTATTACTAGATATTAGCTGAAATTGAACTTTTTTGGATGCTTCCCCATCAAAGAAGAAAGAAAACCTGGTTTCCAGAAATTTTGTAATTAATATTATTTATTTATATTGCAAATACTATTTATATGTTAATATATTGATTTAAATATTTAGATATTACGAGGCTTCAGTTCATGAACTTAAAAAATATGTAAAGAATCTTCAAGATGAACATGAAGATGAAATTTTACAAAATTTACTTCCCAAAATCAAAGAAATCGCTGAATTTAAAGATAATGATGAAATTTTAAAAAATTTACTTCCTGAAACCGAAAAAATCATTGAAACCAAAATTTCAAATTTACTTCCTGAAACCGAAAAAATCATTGAAACCAAAATTTCAAATTTACTTCCTGAAATCAAAAAAAATCATTGAAACCAAAGATACAACCGAAGACTCATCCAAAGATTCAACAAAAGGTGCAACCAAAGACTCAAATAAAGACTCAACAAAAGACTCAACCAAAGACCCAGCTAAAGACTGGCCCTATAGCCTCATCACACAAGAATAAAAAAAAGTTGCATTCTAGATGTAATAATAATAAATTAGAAATTAATTAATGTTTTAAGGGCAAAAATTTCATTACCATTAATTATTTAGTAGTGAGGCACACTCATCGGGCATGTCTGTCATGTAAATGTAAAAAGGTAATAATATTATAATACAATGTAATGTTTGGATATGATTATGCATGTCTAAGAATTTTGAAAATCAAATCATGAAGTTAAAGTGGAGAACTAATAAATATTTGGGCATTAGCAAAGGGATTGAATTGGTTTTCTCAATACAAAATTTCTAAATTATAGTTGGCATAAAAATGCCAAATTGTGCCATTGCGGCAGTGTGACTCATGGTAGAATTAATAGCATCTAAACGCTGTAAAAGCTGAAAGACGCATTGTCATATTGCCAACTATATTAACATAACCACTGAAATCATCTGTGAAAGCGCCGATTAAAGTCATTTCTGCTCAGCACTGTATGTAATTCTATAATCATAATAAACTAAATGAAGAGACTATAAAAACAACGCAAACTATAATATTTTTAAATGGAAACTAACTTCAGAAAGTGCAACTATAAAATTTGACTGTTTAGTCTGGTTAAACGAATTGTATTAACTGTAATAGGTCCTAGGTCCTGTGCGGAGGGGAGTGGAGCGGAAGACCTTTCCATATTCTACTAATTTGAGACGAAATCCAGCTCCCATTCCTATAACTTTGATATATACGTATTTGGCCTATTGCCATCCCCGTAGAAATTTAATTAAATCAGAAATCCAATTATTAAAAGATCGGATAAACTTCATTAAAGCAAACTGATTAATATACTTTACAGAAACCTGTGTTTTTTGAGAAATATAATCATTATATGATAGCTATATAGTTATAATGTAATAAAAATATTATAAACAAAAAATGTAATAGATATATAATCAATATATAATCAATATATAATAAATATGGCTATTAAATGACTTGTAAGAAAATAATTAAATTATAATAATTATATAATTATTATTTAATTATTATATTTAAAAATTTATCCTTATTATTTTTTCAAAGACCTTTTGGTTGATCTTTAGTATAGGTGGGCATATATAAATATTATACAATTATAATATATAAAAATTAAATATTTTAAACTAATTTAAGTAATTTTATATATTATTAAGGTTAGGGTTAAGGTTAGAATTTAAATTAACTTAAATTAGTTAGGTTTTATATATTAT